CGTCAAAATAAGATAAGAAAGGGTGATTTTTAGCAAATGAAAGTTTTTTAAAAACATCAATGTTTTGTTCAGACATCGATGCATCGCCAGAATCAGCTTTGGCGATGTATATCGCGATGTATCGATTAATCGCGACAACACTACCTATTATTAGTGTTGTCGCGATGTGCCATAATCGTACAATGATGCATCGGCAATTTTCAGTAGTAAACATCGATGCACATCGCGATGTACATCGAGAAAAAGTCCGAGAAAAGTGCACTGAAATACCGAACGTTAATGCACTAAAATACAGAACGCTGGTTCATCCGGGAACTTCTACTAACGGTGAAATGAAAGTAAAGTAATTTTTTTAGATTAATGGTTCATTTCGACTAGCTAAAACAGTTTTAAAGCGAAATAATATCAGAAAACATTGGGAAATGAAATAAGACATGAGAAAGTTAAGCAATTTGCGTCAAAATAAGATAAGAAAGGGTGATTTTTAGCAAATGAATTTTTTTAAAAAACATCGATGTTTTGTTTCAGACATCGATGCATCGCCAGAATCAGCTTTGGCGATGTATATCGCGATGTATCGATTAATCGCGACAACACTAGTGGAAACAAATGGTCATAAAATAGAACTTACATATGAATAATTGTTGACTTATAGTTTTATCGTGAATTTTGCATTTGCCGTTTATATTATAAAATGATAAAGTAAAACTGGTATACGTTCAGTCTAATCATTATTTATCAGAGTTTATTTGGTATGCTTTCAGTATACTATTGAAAATCATAAGTAAAACTGGTATGCTTTCAGTATATTCAGTCTATTCAGTATCTTCATACCTATTTACAGATCTATATTCAGTATATATACCTATTAATTGGTATGGTATCAGTCTGGTATCAGTATACGAGGGTTGTCCCAGAAGTAATGCACTATATGTTCTAACTTTCTTTAATATTCTTCAATTCAGCTGAAATTTTGTGTATATAATAATTAAAGTTTTATCTATTATATCCTCAAGTTTCAGCATCAAACATTAACATTAAGTCTCAATCTGGTTGCTATAGCAACATGGGGGTAGGGGCGGGCGGGGCAGGTACCAGTTTTTCTAATTATGAAAGATCCAAAGTGTTATTTTTCTTAATATTTCTTTCTTTTAAATGATCAAAATGTTTTGGGAATTGTTTAATTTATTCAGCATGATGTTAACCAAGTACAAATAATGACATTTAGCACTGTGATGTCATAATACCACAGTTCAATAGTCACAAATTCAAATACAGTCACTGTCAAGAAATTGCAAAAATGGCAGTAATTCTCACCTGATAACAGAAGGCCTTGCGTTTGGTGGCCTAATTTCATACTTCACTTGGACTCATAGCCACGCAAAACTTATGCTACCATGAAGAAAGTATAAAAGGAGTATATACTAGATAGAACTACAATAATGAGGTGGCAGAAGAGATTTAAAAGAGATGACTGGACCCTGGATGACAACTCCAAAGAAAGGAGGCAAAAACTCCACAAGTCACAGTGGAAGAAATTGCTAAGTGTGTTTGACCTTACAGGCATCAAAAGTACATAACATGCAAAGGGCAATGTTTTGAGAAAATGTGAATTAGGACACTGTGCATTATACATGCATTTAAATCTAGGATGTGCTCATAGTAATTTAGTATCTTAAAATGTATTTTTGAGCATATTTCTTAAAGCTACACAAAATGGTATTTGTTCATTAATTATTTCATATTTTCAATTTTTTATTCCTTTTGACGTGACTGTATAACCTGCCCCGCCCTACCCAAACTCACCAACTTGATTTTATTATAACATCAATATAGTTTTATCAGTCAACATGAAAATTTGTAGAATAATCAAAATGTCTCTAAGGAACATTTACTGAAAATTTCATGGGAAAATATTGATTATTGATAAAGTTAGAGCATATAGTGCATTACTTCTGGGACAACCCTCGTATACCTATCAACAAGGTATATTTTTAGTATACTTTTGGTATATACTGACTATACCTGGCAATAGGCTGGGATGTACTGATTAGAAAAGTGTTCACATCTTGACATGTACAGATTAGAAAAGTGTTCAGATATACAGATTGTTTTGTACATGTACTTTAGAAAGTTATAGTTATCAAAAGAGCAGGTCCATTTAACAGACTATTGGTCCACTTAGACTTTTTCTGAAAAACTCATTCTTCCATTTACTTTTAAATCTGATTGCAAGTTGTAGATAAACCTTTGTTCTTGAGATGTGCAATTTCAAAAAGTGCCATAAGTTTTCTGTTTCTTTGAAAAATTGGCAGTAAGAACCCCTATCACAAGGCTGTCTGAATATGGGTACACACTATGTTTACCATCAAAATAATATCAAAATTTATCATTATACAGAATTTAATATATGGAACATGGCATACAAGTATTCGGAGAAGAAAAATGACAAAATCTAGCTATGTATGTAGTTTACCTATGCAAATCTAGAAAACATTGTCATTTTCGTTCACTTTGTTATCAAGTTTTAGCATGGTGCTCATTCCCTTTCATTGAAAAGTTAACTGTCAGCCCAAACTCCCACAAAAGATATATTGAAACTGTATAATGCAGATGCAAAGTAGCTTCTCTGCAAATATCATTTTTGTGGGAGTGTGGGCTCACCACTGAAACTTAACTTTTGTGATGAAAATAAGCCTGACTGGTTTATGTTTTCAATATGGCTGCTAACCTGGGCATACATGTACATGTACACTACATAACTGCATATACAGATTAGGCCATCCAAAATTAATTATATGTTGGCATTCTGATGAAGAGCCAATATTAAAAACTACAAAACCTTCATTTATTTAAAGGGTTTTATATATTATTTAAGAGTGAAAATGCAATAACACATTGTGGCAAGGCAAGTAACACACCCCTTGAGTTCAGAAGACCTTGTTATGTAGTTCATATACATGTTGTTTTTAATCAATCTTGGAACTCATTTCACTACATTATAATCCAAGATCACAATTCCCTTTGTCATTTATATACATTACAAGTAGAGAGTACATGGGAACTTTTTGTTTTTTCTGAAAACATAGAATTTAGTGACATTATTTTAAGAAAATCTTTGAATGGACGAAGTGTTTTTCTAAATAGGGAATAAGTAGAAATTATTTTAGGCAATCCTTTGAGTGTCATGCCATTTATACATGATGCTGCCTTATATTTTATATTTTATGATATATATTGAGAGAGGATTTCTCTGAATTATTTGTGCTTCAAATATGGGAACTGCAAATTGGCAAATAATTTTAAATTTTAGTGTACATTCAAACATTTTATTTCAAATGCCAAATAAAATGCCATATGCCAATGGGCATTTAGTAAAAGTGACCCTATAACTATTTAGAATATGGCAAACATGTTTAGAAAACTGGTGAGAAGCAATTGAAATAAGAAAATCCATTCTTTTTGAAGTGCCCTTGAGTGCATTTAATTTCAGTCATTCTATCCTAATTGCCCATGGGCATTTAAAATAATAATCACATCCCAACTCTTAAAACATGCTTAGGATACTGTTAGAGTCAAAAGGCAACAAGAATATTCATTTTTGAAACAAGAAAATTTAGTCCCCCTAAAAATGCCCATATTGGTATTTATTCTCAAGATTTTCAGGTAATTGCCCGTTATAATTTATCAAAAATATTTTTTATTTCCATTCACATGTCTTATTATCAGTCACAATCAAAATAAAGCCAATTACTTTCATTTCTTGGATTAGAAACAGTAAAATTTACACAAAAATAACAACTCTCAAACTTGACCTTTAAACCACCCTAGTGTCAAGGTCAAAAGTAAAAACTCTCAGAAATCACATTTTAAGTAATGAGTCATACTTCCTCTTCAATTCCATGTCAATATATACTTGTTTTGTAGGGGGGCTAAAAGAGGGGTTTACCGCCACCTGTCCTTTATAAGACTGAGCTATAATTTTATTTAGCTGGAAATATGCTTGAAACTCTTATATTTTACTCAGTTTACAAAAATACATGCCTTATTATTGCTTCATTGGTACATTTAAAATTAGATTTTCAAAAGGTATCCACGATTTTTGATAAAAAATAATGATCCTGGAGACAATTCTCCTTTAGAGGCTGTTTGATATCGTGTATGATATAATTAATCTTCATCCCATAAAATACCAATGAAAATTAATATTTAATATTAATTTTGTAATGGCAATAATTCTAAGATTAAAAATTTCTTTTGATCATCTATTTTGCGAGGAAAATTTTGAGTCGATGAAAATGTTTATCGTTGATGTTTTACATGCTATTCAATCAGGATGATGTTATCATGATTGTACATCTCCCGTCAGAAAAAAGTTCCAATGGTCACATTTTAAAATGGAAAATAGAGTGAAAAGGTGTGAAAACAGCAAGGAATAAAGTAAACAGGCATATAGTCAACACTCTAAATTGTATAGAAACGCTTATAAATTAGGGCGTTCATTCAAATTTTAGAGAAAAATTGTGTAGTTGGCATGACTTATTTGGAAGTTGCCGCATGGGTTCCCAATGCAAATATTAGTTCATACTACATAGGAAATTACTCCAAACAAAAGATCAGAAGATTGCTTTTTCTAGCTCATACGAAAATTAATTACTTTAAGTACATTATGTCATGCTTCAGGACATTTTTTTGTTAAAAAACGAAGCCAAATGAAATTTATTTTTCAATGCACTCACTATAACTGACAAGATAATATATGTTCTGATTCTTTCTGAAGCACTTTCCCAGTTTTTTTAAATCCTATGTTCCGCAAATGTTATGGGTCTTATAATTATTGTTGCCCTTTATACTTTTAATCGAAGTATATGCATTACGGAATACCATGGGAAATATCTGAAGTTACCTCTCTACCTCTCAGTCCCAGTAGATAAAAAATTTGACAGGTTTTACTGTAGAGTAAAAAATGGATGATATAATCTGGCATTATTCTTTTTCAGATGGCTCAAATTCTGCCTACAGAGGAAAACTTCCTTCTGCTGTTCAGGAGAGACAACCCAGTAGAGTCTTCGGTAGAGTTTATGAGGGTAAGTAAATTAACATCCTCCTGAGCAGGTGTCCAGAATCCGTACCTCCTTCTTCCCCCTGCTATAACCAGGGGGGAAGAAGCGTTGCGACAGCCAATCAGATTGCCAGTTCTTAATCGGGGAAATGCTAACTGCTTATCACAGGGAGTAAAAAGAAAGAATATATTCTGAATTTTGAAGCCCTGTGATCGGAGGTTGGTAAATTAATGGGAGGGAGTAAATTGGGAGGATTTTTTATAACTTCCCTCGAGTCCTCATGCCTTAAGGCCCTCATCCTTACACAGATGCTTCAACATTGACCAAAATTATGAGTTCTTTTTAAATTATGCGAACAATTATGTACCTGCTACATGGTGAACTTTGTATAGAGGGTTTCAAGGTTTAGCCTGTATTATCCAAATGACAAATTGGTCCCTTAAGGAGAACACCTTTATAAATATTATCATATTACCATTACGACAAAAGTACCATTGATTTCTGAATAAAATTTAAAGGTTTTCTTGTATACTAGTATAGTGGCTCATTAGCTTGAGATGTTCCTATGAGTATTCTGTTAAATAGTTTATGTGGCACACACGATGCTTTTAGTAGATACCCATCAGATATAACGTCTGCTTTTGTGCTGAGCATTATGGGAAATGGTGGATCATCAAATAATATTTTTGGGACAGAATCTCCCAGTGATTAATCTATATTATGCTATAAAAAACTACTGTTTTTTATCTATTTATAAAGATCACTAAACATATTTGCATAACAGTGATATAGAGATAGATTGATAGAGATGTATGATATTTAGTGCAAGCATTCTTTTGTATAATGTAAAAAATTCTTTATCTAAAGTTTGTATGGAATTTATATATTTTTCTTAATCTTATTCAATATAGTCTTTAAGTACTACATGCACCTTTTACTTGAACTCATCATACGATGACATTGATTTTTTTTGAACAATGTCATATATTTTGACATATTTCCTAGATGTGAAGATCAGAATATTGATCAAATAAAGAGTATACATTTTAATAGAAAAAACTACTTTTCATATATGAACTGAATACTCTTAAAGTTTATCCGAGAAATATTTGTCTGAAGAAGCAATCGTTAACTGTGGAGTACCCCAAGGGTCTGTTCTAGGCCCCCTCCTATTTATCATATTTGTAAATGATTTCTATCTAGTTTCTGATAAACTCAAACTGGTGATTTATGCGGATGACACTAATATATTATGTAGTGATTCCAATCTTGATAATTTGACCACAACCGTAAATTCTGAACTTTGTGACATCAATGATTGGTTGTTGGCCAATAAACTCACTTTAAATGTTAAGAAAACAAAATACATGGTCTTTGGAAATAAAAGAAATATATCTGTGAACAATGAAATAAAAATTGCAAAATTCTAATCTTGAAAAAGTAGATGAGATAGGATTCCTGGGAGTAATTATTGATTCAAAATTATCTTGGGCTCCCCATATCAATGCTTTTCATAGAAAAGTTTCAAATGTTATAGGAATGTTATATCGAACAAATTATGCTCATACTTTAAATTCAAAGATGATAATATATAACTCTCTGATTTTTTCTCATCTTAATTACTGTAATATTTTATGGGGAAATGCTTGTAAGAATCTATTAAATAAACTACTGATATTGCAAAAGAAAGGACGATTCTCGGTTTGGAGAACAGTCTCCTGGGCTAATAATTTTTTCATGAAAAATATAGAAATATTACCCAAATTAAACTATGAATATTCAAAAGAGGACATTTAGATCTACAAGATGTAAAAATAACAAATTGGTCTGAAGCAGGGATAACGCTCAATTTGACCGATTCAATAAATTACAAGTCTCGATTTGGGGAAAGAAGTTCATCAGTGTACTGCGCGAATATTTTTTTGCGAAAAATCTAGAAATATTACCCAAATTAAATTATAACTATTCAAAAGAAGACATTCAAATCTATATTATGTAAAAAAATCAAATTTGTCCGAAGCAGGGATAATGCTCATTTAGATTGATGAACTTAGTTCTCCAAACCGAGAATCGTCCTTTGTTAGATTAATAACAAATTCAGATAGATTAGCTCAAACATTCCCAATTTTTCAAGATCTTAAAATACTTAATATTTATCATATTCACACAATCCAAACTGTTTCATTCATGAAAAAAGTTATAAGCAAATCTGTACAGTTCCCTTCAAAATTATACGATCACTATTTCAAAACTAGAGAAAACATACATCAACGTATAACTCGATTTGGTCATAACTTAGATATTCCTAAACATAGAACCAGAATTGGTGAAAATTCTATTAAGGTCCATGGTTCATATATATGGAATTCCCTCAATGAAGATATTAGAAATAAACCATTAAATTCACTCATATCTCGTTTGAAAATTGACCTCTTGAGTACAGAGTAACCAAAACATTTATTTCATTTCTTTATTGTCTCATATTATTGTATTTGTATATTGTATTTATATTATATTATTGTATTGACCTATGTACCACTTTAAATGTTCACAGTTTATCATGTTTATTGTAAATTTAATTATGGGCAGTCATACACCCCTGGGGTGTCATAGCCTGTATAATGTTGTAATTTTTGTAATGAAAACTGAAATAAATTATTTTGAAATTGAATTGAATTGAAAAATATAATATCCGTAAAGTCAAGAACTACAAAAGACTCGTTCAATATGGGCTACTGTGTCAAAGTTGCCAGATAAGAAGTTTCATCGAGTTTATATGCAGAAATGAAAAGAGCAATTTAGTGTTGCTTTGATAAAAAGTCGAGACAACATTCTGGCTTTGCGTATCTGATACTCAGTATAGCACTATAATTTATATTGATAAATACAAAGCTGTAGTATCTTTAATTGCATATGTGAAAAGACTTGTAATTAGCCGGATGCTTTTCTGCAAAACTGCCATTAAGAGCAAATTCTGTCTTTCATTTAGGTATGTTGACTTATTTTTCAATGAACATTTCCATTTTGAACTTTTTGCACTTACACTTGAATAATTGAGTGATCTCACCCGGTTCAGTAATCTTCAGGGTGTTAGTTGCTTGTTTTTTTCTGTTGTGGAAAATACCAAAATATTTCATCTTTTTGTAGGGGGGCCAACAGATTATCTACAGGGTGGCATGAACTTGTCATATTTTCAACAGAGTGGCATGAACTTGTTATATTTTCATCAGGGTGGTATGAACTTGACATATTTTCAAAACGGTGGCATGAACTTGTCATATTTTCAACAGGGTGGCATGAACTTGACATATTTTCATCAGGGTGGTATAAACTTGATTATTTTCATCAGGGTATGAACTTGTCATATTTTCAACTAGGTGGCATGAACTTGTCATATTTTCAACAGGGTGGAATGAACTTGACATATTTTCAACAGGGTGGCATGAACTTATCATATTTTCAATTAAGTGGCATGAACTTGTCATAGTTTCAACAGTGTGGAAAGAACTTGACATATTTTCAATAGGGTGGCATGAACTTATCATATTTTCAATAAAGTGGCATGAACTTGACATATTTTCAAAAGGGTGGCATGAACTTGTTATATTTTCAACAGGGTGGCATGAACTTGTCACATTTTCAACAGGGTGGCATGAACTTATATTTTCAATAGGGTGCCATGAACTTGTCATGGGGTGGCATGAACTTGTCATATTTTCAACAGGGTTACATGAACTTATATTTTCAATAGGGTGGCATGAACTTGTCACATTTTCAACAGGGTGGCATGAACTTATATTTTCAATAGGGTGCCATGAACTTGTCATGGGGTGGCATGAACTTGTCATATTTTCAACAGGGTGGCATGAACTTATATTTTCAACAGGGTGGCATGAACTTATATTTTCAATAGGGTGCCATGAACTTGTCATGGGGTGGCATGAACTTGTCATATTTTCAACAGGGTGCCATGAACTTATATTTTCAACAGGGTGGCATAAACTTATATTTTCAACAGGGTGGCATGAACTTATATTTTCAACAGGGTGGCATGATCTTGTCATATTCTCATGAGCATACATCACTTGGTTGCTATTATCTTTATATCAATGATTTCCCCACCAAATGCTACTTGGATATATAGAGATTATCCTATATGAGGTTCAGGATATTGGGATTATCCCGAGGCTAATATAATATATTTGCCCGAGGGCCGCAGGTCCCGAGGGAAAATATATTATATTCACTGCTACCCATCTAATTACACAGACGTGTCGTCGGTGTATCATGGCGGAACTTCCTCCGGGACTAGGTTTCGGTAAGATTTTTTTATTTCCCAATTTACACCTACTTATAAGTCACGTTGTGGATAATAATTTGGCTCGAAGTTAAGGAGGATAGTCTAGTTTGAGAATGTGTCGATGGTTTTAGGTTGCATATGTTAACAAAGACACAATTCACGTATTTAGTCCCTCACTTTTCTTACACTGACGATCGGCATTAATATTGCCAATATTACACTGATATTGGTCGTTCGTCAGTGTAATTTCAAAAAGTGGTTTTTGATAGACTTTTTGTTCCAAAATTTGTGAATTTATTTAAAACCAACTTTTAGAGGTCACTCATATCTTCTAATTAGCCACAATTCATACCAATGCATAGCATTCATCCTCCCGTGTTTTTTGCTGAAAAAATTAAGAAAATCGGTTCATAAATAAGCGAGAAATGAACTTATCAGTGCATGAAAATGGTTCTGAGAAAAATGCATTTCAAAATTTTAGTTCTCATAGAAACCAATGGTACAATGATATCTAAAACATAATTTATTCTTCGTTTTAACCTGGTTAGACAATCAACATTGGTTTTTTATGAAAGTCTAACATATTTAGAAAAGATTGACATCGAAAAAGTTTTTGGTACCTTAGTGACATCACTAATGTTTCAAAATATTTTTGATATACTAAAACATTGAAGTGGCCCATTAAATATGGCATTTTATTATTGAAATAGTGTGTCCTTTGTTCAACCTTTGCATTGGGGTTAAAAAGATAATCTTTTTTGAAATGCATTAAGAAATATTTGATGATTAAGAAATTTCAACTTTTTTTGAAAAATGGCGGGAAATTTGAATATTTGAGAAATGAAATGCTCACAACTTTTTTTTCCAAAAAATTTTTTGTTCAAAAATCTCTAAAATCACTTTTTAAGTCCTGACAAATAGTAAATGAATGATAAAAAAATATTTTCAAACTTAAGACGGGGACTTTAAAGAGAAAATATGCTGTCTTTAAAATGCAAGGGGAGACATATAATGAGTATATGATGTAGTCCTTCCTGTATGGTCACTTTGACCATTCTGCCTGTGTAAGATATGTGTTCTTGATCTCCACAATCCTTTGATATTCAAAATAACATAAATAACATGGTATTAACACAGGGCTAGGAATAACTAAGGGATTACTAGTTGAACTTTAGGGACTTAACATTTTCAGACAAATATTTTTGACTACAGTTAAAGACATGAAAATGTGGAAATTTCTCCTAAAGATTTTTAGTAAAACTCTATATTGTGAATTTCATTTGGAGAAATAACGAGATCAGTTTAAAATCGTTAACCTGATGCATGAGGAATATGAAAGGGAAAATACATGTGAGATAAATATTATGGAAATGATAAAAAAGTTGTATAGCAAAAGTATTAATAGATTAACAGATATTGATCCAAATATACATGTGATAAATTGTACGTGCACAAATGCATATCCATTTGGAAGATTGATTACCATCCCATATGTAATTGAAAAAAGGCATTAAATTAATGACGATACCACATATAATTAAGGCCAGGAAAAATAGTCAGGTTTGTGGATGTCGGATGGATGTCAGAACATCAGAGGCATTTTGGCTAAACAAAATGTTGTTTTCAACTTCTCAATCTTTTAAATGACTAAAAAGAAAAAACATTTTCAAAAGAAGAAAAATATATACATGAACTATGTGGGCAGGTTTAAAATATGAGACCCTGGAGACGGGAAACAATAATATTTTAATATTTTTCCTGGCCTAAGTCATATTTGATACCATAACCATACAGAATGATTGATGATTCATAAAACATTAGCTACTCTTCAAATAAAACAAATTTGTCAGCATGTCAATATTACTTCAAAACAATGTAGTAATTCAAATAATAGAAATGTTCTCGTGACTTTCTAAAAATGTTATTGTGACTTTCAATTTCAAAGGGCAGATATGTGTAACTGATCACATATAAGTTAAAGAATTCCCATTATCTATAGGTTCTGGGGTTTTATTTAAAATGGTTTAGTGTAAATGTTATTGTGACTTTCACAGGGCAAAAATGTATAATTGATCAATCACATATAAGTTAAAGCATTCCCATTATTCATGGCTTGTTGGGTTTTATATAAAACAGTACAGTTAAACCTGTATATCTGAACACCTGGCTAATCCAAACACCTTCCAATTTGAACACTTTTTTTCGGTCCCATTTTTTCCTCCCATTGACTCCCATGTTAAAAAAACCTTGAAATCTGAACACCTCCTAATCTGAACAGTGAACAACCAGATTTGAAAAACTGACTGACCTGTCTAATCTGAACATTTTATCAGAAATCAAATGTCTGGACATTGTTATGATAGCTAGGATTCAATCAGTAAATGTTTCATAATCACAAAGACAACACAGACACATTTGCAGACAAGATTATATCATGAGAAAGAGAAAAAATTCAACTTCGTAATATCCTATCACTAAAATGCCTCCTAAAAAGGCACATCTGACATCCTGAATGCCCTTGATATTTTGAAAGATTATGCATCATCTCGAATGAGCACTCGTGAAAAATTTATTGAAGAGGGTATCTACTCAAATATTGCTAATGCCAACAACAATGAACGACTTTTTCAAGCTAAAGTAAAGCAGTGCTATGTAACCATAATTTAATTTAATAATTTAACAAGTCATTTAATAAGCATAAGATTTCGTACAAGACTATCATATACTTATTCAGTGTATTACAAAGTTTTTGCCAAAATTAAAGAGTTATTTTTCCAAAAATAATGAAATTGTTCAAAATGTAAATAAAACATAGCATATACATGTAGGCTATAGGCCTATTGTAGAATAAACTCATCAACAACATGTATTGTTTTCTGACTAAGTATTAAGTGTTCAATATAGTGGACTGAACAATGAAAATCCCCCCCCCCCCCCCCGACCAACAATATCCTCGAAATTTGAACACCTGCCAATTTGAACGCTTTTGGCTGATCCCATGGGTGTTCGGATTAGACAGGTTTTACTGTATAGTTTAGATAAAAATACATAATTATATAATTTGTGATGTATAAGTTAATCATTCCCAATTATCCATAGTAAGTGGAATAGTGGGGTTTTATATAAAACATGTACATAATGTTATGTTAGTGTAACTTTAGAAATGCAGGCATGTATAGCATAGATAGGTAAAGTTGTAATTAATATAGACTATACAGTTGTATGTTAATATAATATAGATACTATAGTACAGCAGTATGGTTTGTAGAATATGATACAATTAAAAGAGATGAAAGCGGGAAGAAAGTAATCAGAAGGGGTGTATTATGCTGCCATACTGTATAAGTGGTAATATTGCCTAATCATTTAATTTGCCTATTGCCTAATTTTTGTCAGGTTTGGAAAATGAAATGTTAGAAATATAACTTCATAATGTTATCCAATCGGAAAATTAAAATTAGGAAAATGATCAAATCTGACCATTCAGCAAACTAACCACTCGATTTAAATACCACTTACAGTATTAAAAGCCGGGTTGCCGTATCAACTTGAAAGTTAAATGGATTCGAGTGAAAACTTTCACTGCGCAGAACAATCATTTTCTTATTAAAATGTTAAAGATATATACACTATAGTATATTACAGCTGTATGGTGTGTTGAATATGATATGATATAAAATAGAGGATAAGTTATAAGAAGACATGCACTACATATATGGCCATTCATCTGCATCTACTGTCTTATAAACTGAATACAGAAAAACCTCCAAAGTTTAACACTTCTACAAATGGAACATCCCTTCGTGTTGGTCTTGGATTGTGTCATTGTTGTACTTAAATGGTGGGGTGGGGGACTTAGACACATATAAGTGCTTGAAATAATTTCTGGAATTTCTGGTTTCTTACTTTATTTATATAGAGTGTTTAATTTAGAGCCTAACAAAAACTCATGCTTTACTCCTTGCTAATTCCACAAGTTTCCACTATATTTTCATGGTTCTTTTCAAAACGACCACAATTTCACTTGTTTAATAGGTTCCCTATCAGTCAATGTAGAGACAGATTATTAATTCCCTCCAGTGTTTAGACCAAGGAGGAACTAAAGTTTGTAATAACCGCATGTTTTCAATTAATCAAGCAATCTTGAAGAACTCTTGCAATATTTGTCAAGAGAAAATAATGCATTAATCTACTCGTGAACTCTGTCAAGTTTGTTGTTATGCAGTGATATGTTCATTATCGAGTCAAGATGACTAAATGCCCTCTATCTGGAGATTAAACAATGTTTTGAATGATGTAACAAGAATCAAATTTATCACTAAAAACATGACTATTGGGAAATATGGGGTGGACTGACTTTTTCCCATCAGCCCTTAGCTCAGGATTTCATTCTGTGTTTTCATTAGCCAATGAATGATGGGAATGAATTCTCTGTTTCAAACAATCCTGTACATGACTAACCTCTGGTGGTTTAATGTATAGACACATCTCACGATGTTATTCCAAAAGTTTCAGAAGTAACTAAATTATACACATTTATATTATACTATACCGTACCGTACCGTATTTTATCATATCGTATTATATCGTATTGTATCATATTATATTGTATCGTATTATATCATATTATATTGTATTATATCATATTATATTATATCGTATTATATCATATTATATTATATCGTATCATATCATAATAATTATATCGTATTATATCATATTATATTATATCGTATCATATCATAATAATTATATCGTATTATATCATAATAATTATATTGTATTATATCATAATATATTATATCGCATTATAATATATTATATCGTATTATAATATATTATGTATAATTACATCATTATATTATATGATATCATATTATACATTAAATGTACATGGCATATCTTCTGTTTGCAGGTGTGGCGGCAGTTTGACAAAGACTGTAGTGGTTACATAGAAGCTGATGAATTAAAGGTAAATATCAATGGTAATTAAATCATTAAGGTGGGCTTAGCTAGCTTTTGCCCAGGAGGTTTACTTTTCAAAAAAATCAGGGGGTTCACTTTTGACAACTTTGGCCCAAAATCACTTGAAAAGTGTATAGAATGGTAAAAACTGCATGATTTTGAAAGAATCTTTGGCAAAGAGGAGGGGGAATACTGAACCCCCCTGGCTACGGGCCTGTATGTGTATGTTAAACAAAAAGAAATTGCATAATACATCCCACTAGATTTCAACTATATAACAAAATAAATAAATAAAACTATGACAATTTTTATTTTTAAGCATTTCTGCTTTTCTTAAAAAAAATAAAACCATTTCCTTTTCTTTATAGGCATTTCTGCGCCACTTATTAAAGGAAAATAAAAAAGACATAGAAGTCACAGAAGAGAAACTCATAGAATATACAGGAACAATGGTAAGTTTTATAACTTACATAACTTATATATAACTTATAAGTTTTATGAATAAAATTAAACTGAGCTACCGTATTCTCTCTAATTGGTGCACAGTGTGGTTTCCAAAATTGAAATTTAAAAGGGTAAGATATTGAGAGATTCCAATAAGTACACATACAAAAACATTTAGAAAAAAATATCACCAAAATCTCTTTAGTTGTTATCACAACAGATATTTGAGGAAAACAATCAAAACAACCTAATATTGAGGATATGTGTAACTACTAGATCAATGCCATACCATAAATGTGAGGTAACATATTATCCATGACCATTCTCATACTCGAAAGTGGAAAAATCTGACCATTACTATTCCTCAAAGGTCATAATTTGGAGGGCATTCTCATACCAGATTCTAAATTTTGGGTCCATTGCCATACCAAATGTCATTAAAGGTACCCATGTGTGTGTGCCGAGGATCTCTGTCAATGTTTATATACAGTGAACCCCCCGGGATGTTCGGAGGCTACCTTCTTCTAAGGCCACTGTATCGTGGCCTTCGTCCAAAGATAAATTCCTGCATGTATAACTGGTCATGTCTTAATCATAAAATTTAAAATCAAATGTCCGCCATTTTTCCACATCACAATTTGAATTGCGAGTTTTGGTCTTATTACCTCACCAAAAATTCCAAAACACACATGAAGTGATCACAGTATAAGTTCACATCTTCTGGATCGCTAACCGGTCACATTTTAATTAATGATTTATTTATCTGGCGATTTTTAAAATATTCAATGAATTTATGACACGCCGGCCAGCTTTTTTCAAATGGAGTTCACAGTATTCCAGATGAAATTACCTCTAGCCAAGAATTGGCTCGAGACTTGAGTAATTCGGAGGATGAAAAACATATACCCAGCTATTTTCATTCAAGTTGTTAAAATTGCACAAAATACAAATGATTTTCTCGATTGGAATGACAGAAACTCGGTCAATATAATTAAAATAATCCATCAAGTCAAATGTTAAAATTTGCCTTTCACTGGGCTTTCGTCTAATTAGAACGTAGTAGAATGTGCTAATGTTTATGAATGAGGTGTATGTAACCCCTACTCCGAGGCAAAGGAACAATTCCCTCACGCATCATTATTATCATCACTGTACAGAATTCTTACGAGTTTCAATGACAATATACTATTACTATTATTACTATGGCAACAAAACCTTTTTAACGTAGCATTGGAATTGGAAGATAATTTTTCTGTAGAAAATCTTGCAGAACTGTGACTTTTTTTTCATTTAGAATATGATGTGTAACTATGAGCTGTGGAGTCCCCAAGATTAGATTGACTTAAATTCATCTATTGATTACCTTGATATTGATAGGCATATAGGAATCTCTAGATTTTAGATAATATTAATAACTAAATATGACAAATTACTTACACTAGTTTAATCCTGCTAAAAATTCACTTAACTGTGAATTTCAATATTAAGTTACAAATAGGTCACATTGACCTCCTATATATTCCCATCAAATGTTTTTTAAATGCACACAAATTACAAGTATATTGCATAATATTGTTATAGAACTAAATTCTTGGATGAGGAAAATTCAGATTACCAAGCTAAAATACATGTAACTTCTGTTCTAAACAGTTCAATATTTGATTGACAGCTCTATTTTAGCACCTTCCATATTTGGGCATGAAATTGATGGCCTATGTTAAAACTCCAAGGTCAAGCTGATCTGGTCACTCTCTAAGACAACTTTAGAACATAGATTTGACCAAAATTGACCAATTCCACCTTTATTTTTCTCAACTGAAACATATTTATAGCTATAGTTTACCTTTCAATTCATTGTGAGCTATCTAATACCAGTTTATTTGAGGTGTTTCATCATTATCATTTACATCTTGAAAGGAGAATTTTGCAGTATTTTATTTGACTATTTTGTCAAAATATTTTGGAGAACAATTTCATTATCTTCACTAGTTAAGGGTTTCACTCAGGTTGAATGACAATTTCAAAGTTGAGCATTATGGGCAGAGACCATGTTTAACTGAGACCAACCACTTATAAATGATATAGTGTATAATCGTTCAACGATCTATCTATTCCTATGCTTTATATAATGTACAACTAAAAGGTTTCCATATGGTATTGTTATCTAAAATCTTAATGAAACAAATACAAAGTAAAAATATCTTGGACTACGAACCCTTTAATATGATTTCCAACTATAAATCGTTAGATCTACCCTTTTCATGGAGCATTTCTTACATTTTACTCAGTTAAGATAATTACCATCGATTTCTAGCACACAGTGAAACCTGTCCCAGTGGAACACATTTGGTACTTCTAAAGGTATTCTAACTGGAGGTGTTTTACTAATAGGAGTTCATTTTACATTAAGTCAGTTTGTCTTGGGACTCAAAAAGGTGTTCTACTTACAGAGGTGTTCCTCTTTATAGGTTTCACTGAATATCAAATCAAAATAAGTAACAATAAAACATTTTCTGTCTTTATGTAGCTAAAGTCACTCCTATTCCTATAGATGAAAGTAAGTTCCATTAGAGATCATTAAAATCTCATCAATACAAGAATTGTTAAGTTGTTGGTGATACTCAAGAGGGTCTGGTACATTACAGCGAAGCTTGAAAATATTGTTTATTTACAAAGTTAATTCAATGTATTACTTTTTAAAACTGAACAAAGAGCAAATAAATTTCAATTTCGGAACTTGTATGAACTTTTTTTGAACTTTTTCAAACTTTGATATTTCCAGAAATTCAAGGTTTGTTGAATGAGAAGTCAAATTGTGTTAAAGACAAGCTGTTTCTACTATTAGCATCAATAGAATTTATGACTAATTAGTATTTTCAATCTTGCATCCTTGTATCCTTGTTTATATAGGTAAAATGTCAGTGGTAATGATGGTTTATTTGATTTTTTTTTGTGTAATGCTGCAAGGTCAATAGTAAGTCACTCTGTCATTCTTAGCATTAATCATGTATACCTGTATCTATATCCTCATTTAAATCTCTGTTGAAATATGTTTAGTCTGAACTCGGTGAGAAAATCCTCGGTCAGAACTACATATAAGTGTGGATATCCTCAGTAAGAAAATCATCTGTCAGAAATAAGTGAGAATATCTTCAGTAAGAAAATCCTGTCAGAAATAAGGGAGAATATCCTCAGTAAGAAAATCCTCTGTCAGAAATAAGTGAGAATATCTTCAGTAAGAAAATCCTGTCAGAAATAAGGGAGAATATCTCAGTAAGAAAATCCTCTGTCAGAAATAAGTGAAAATATCCTCAGTAAGAAAATCATCCATCAGAAATAAGTGAGAATATCCTCAGTAAGAAAATCCTCTGTCAGAAATAAGTGAGAATATCCTCGGTAAGAAAATCCTCTATCAGAAATAAGTGAGAATATCTTCACTTAGAACTCTGTGGGAATAGCCTTAGTCACAACTCATCTCAACTCATCAGAAAAGCATTTCAGACTCACATAAATGTTCAAAACTTATTCACATTGCTGTTTTAATCTCAAGATTTGTGATGCAATACAGGGTGTCCTGAAAAAATTGAACCAAAATGAGATGAGAATAACTCTTTTTTCCTTCATCAAAAAAGTTAACCTTTTCTATGATGCTACTAGATGCGAGTAGAAATAATCTTGATTATTATCATTAAATATTCAAATTTCAGTCAAAGTGATGCCATATTTGGAATCTAGATGTAAAATTCCATCTTAAAAGATGGTTTGAAAATTGTTTATCAACTTCGAAAATTTTCTTTTTGAAAATGTGACTTCTAGTTTGGGGAGATTCCCCATAGACCCCATGTTACAAAATCACAAAATATGAAATATCTTTTTTTGTCTTGGACAGATAACATTTCCTTTACTGGACATATTTAAATTTGTATAACTATTAGATACAAAAGTGTGATATAAAAATTTCTCAATTAAAACAGATGTAATTTAAATTAAAGGGAACTTTCTATTATTTGGGACACCTTGTAATTACATATACACATGTGTGATCTTGTCACTTGTCAGTATAATAAATTCCATATTGCTCCCCCTCTTATCTACCCCTATCTATTGCTAAACTGAATAACTTTCCTTACCATATTTCTATATACAATAAATTAATAATTATCTTTTTGTTTTTCAGCTCCAGTTATTTGACCAAAATAAAGATGGCAAACTCCAGCTTAGTGAAATGGCAAAGTAAGTGAAAGTGTTTTGTTTCTTATCATTTTATTAACAGAATTTATGATGGAAAAGTTGATATTCTTATGACCTATAAAATATATGGCATTATGATCAATATTCTTTTTGTTAAAAAGACTTTAATTTATACAATGTACATTAGATCTCTAAATTCATTGTACATATAACTGATGCCTATGCATGTTTATACACTGTACAAAATGCATCCTGTATAATACAGGTATATCAGAACGATTCATGAATAAAGCCAGGGGGAAAAGCAAATTTGTTAATGTTTTTTTCACAAAAAGTTTGAAATATTTGGAAATGCATTGAAATGCAGCATTTGAACAATGTAAAAACATTTTTATTTATAAATTTATTTCAATGACTGTTTCATACTGGCATTACTAGCCATGTCTTTATATATGTATTTCATACTTACAGAGGTTCTAGGTACATAACGAGCGGGAATATATACTGTATCTAGCCAAGGCCAGGGGCGGGATGGATACACGCTGTATCCATCCAGGTCCCGCTCCTGAAATTTTTTTTCAAAAAAATTTTCACATTCTTTTTCAAAAATTTTTTTTCACATTTTTTTCACAATTTTTTTTCAAATTTTATTTTTCAAAATATGAGTTATATGAGCTTGAAAATCTCAGAAACTTAAAGAACCACTTTATAAAACCAAGAAAATGCGTATCTTAAGTATATTTTTGAATTTTGGAACTTTATAAGGTATATGACGTACCTAGAACATCAGTAGGTATGAAATACATCTGTTAAGTACGGTCGGTTTCGGATACAGGGTTTATCCCTCGGGAAATATGTGTATATCCCTCGGTCCCTGCGGTCCCTCGGGATATACACATAATTCCCTTGGGATAAAACCTGTTTCCAAAACCTCCCAGTACATAACCCTTATATATTAAACTGACATATGATATAAATAATATAAATAGATCAAAGATACAATAAAATATTTCTGACAAACCTTCATACCCCCTTTTTGGGGATAGCTTTGTTAACAATGATGCAAACTGAAAAAATAGCACCCCCTTGACAATTGCTGGCTAGGCCCCTGAGATTGATATGGTTATGAGTCAATGAAAGATAAATGTATATATGGATTTTCAAGTCTAAACAATTAGTTCAATTACATTCTGCAAAGTTTATTAGAATGATCATTTTACAACATTGAATGTCCTGAGATCGATAACTGATTCCAGTTTAATAAGGTCATCCAAGGAAATCTTTGCACAAGAATGGTTCTGAACTTTGGAAATTTCATTATAACAGCATATTACAGATTCATTCATTAATACAGAAAAAGCAATTGTCTACTGTCATGACATCTATATGTCGATACATCTTTGACTTTTAAGAGCAGCTTAGAGCTTTTTTGAATTAAAATAACCACATTTCCGATCCGGTTTTGGCAACACAGCCTAATAATGCAGCAAAACATATAACTAGTTGACCTAACAATATTGAAAAATAGATTTGTTTAATTGCATTATTATATCTTTGTAGATTTTGTATTTTGACAGGACAAAACATTAACTTCTAATCTTCCCGGTTGACTAAATATCAGAGATTGCATTTCCGACTTTTATATCAAATTTTGTCTTTTTCAGACTTCTTCCAGTTCGTGAAAACTTCCTTTGTAGACCTATATTTAAGGTATGCCCTTATATAGGAGTAAGTACTTTATTTATAATTTTATATGGATCTATACAGCAGAAGTTTGCTTTCAAAGTTCCCACGATTAAAATTTCAGATTGGCCATGCTTTTCCCATACTGTATAGAGGGGGTCTACTGTGGTTTTCTCTTGATAGATCCATTTTATAATAAGTCAACATTTTCAAATACAGATGGGGTATATAAGGATCAGCCATTATACACTTCCAGAATTGAGCATCACCTCATGCTTAGCATAAAAGATAACTGATGTTGGACTATATACACAATATCGAGGTCACATCATTGGTCTGAATCCAAATCTTCAGAATCCCTATCATCCAAATCCCATTGGTCCGAATCCCATTGGTCTGAATCCTGCCTAGTAATGCTTAATTTTAATGTCTCATTGTTTTAACATCAAGATAAAATGCAAGAAATGTAAGAACATGGAATAAAACATCAATCGGACGAATAGGATTTAGACCATTTGGATTTGGACCAATGGGATTTAGACCATTAGGATTAGGAGCAGTGGGGCAACCCCACACCATACCATGTAATTAATCTCAAATTAACTTGACCCCTCCCATCATCCTCAATGAAAACAAAACTTAAAATAGATTTCCTAACTGAATTTGGCAAAACGCATCATTTATAATTTGAACGCATCTTATACGATATGTTGAATATCATAATAAAGCATGGCCAAGGTGAAATTCAAGGCACATACACCGTGAGTAGCTTCATTTACTGCAAAAGTTGTGTTACAACTCATTAAAAGCAAACAACTACATCACATATTCAAAACTAAGTTTTGAGATTATACTTTTCTAAGTTATTTTTAAATATAGATTGATCATTTTTATTAATGAATATTTAGAATGAGTTATTTGATTTACTTTATATGATTAGATAAACTGAATAGATGCACTCACATTTAGTTGCCTTTTTATTCTTATTTATATTACAGGGTGTCCCAAAAAATGTAACCTATCATAAATAAAAAATTCATAACTTCATGACATTCATTCATAACAAGTTATAGTCCAAGTTATGATGCATCAAAGATAAATGTCATAATCTGACAAAGTTACACTCATTTCAGAGCATGCCCCAGTCGTCAAAAATCATCAATAGATTTCAGAAATTTTGAGGCTTTAAAATTGATTTTATCATCATATATGCAGGGTATCATGAAAAAGATACTTCAAAGATTTCTGAAAAGAATCTAAAAATGATATGCTAAATAATTTGGCATATAATTCTTTGGAATTGTGACCAACATTTCTTAGTGATTTTTTGAATGCCAGATAAAACCATGTTTTGAGACAAAAATATTGTATCCCAAACCCAAGTTGTGGATACTCAATCACTAGACAATGAGTATTCAAATAAGAAAATCAAAAAGATTCCATCATTATTGATAAAGTTATTTACAAAAATGGTTGCATTTTTAGAGTTACCCTGTATATTGAGACCTTTCAATGCTTTACTAGAATACTCTAATACTTTTATTTTATTCCTCATTTCTTTCGATATAATATTTCAGAGAATTCTTGATAACCCTGAGGTAACCAAACCACACATTTAATTTTTCTAAAATTTGGGACTTCAATCTTTCATCAGTTACAATTTCTAGCTTTTTCACTTATTGATATATGTCAAGGCTTTATTTTCAAATTGGGAATATATTTATTACAAACGCTGGTGGTATAGTATCCAATTTTAAATATATGTTGTCCCCTATGTAAAGCAATACATATCACATTAACACAACATTTATGTTGTAGAATAGCACATAATGTTGAACCTTGTGTTACCCCTATAATAACATGCACATCATAGCCTGATACCCATGCTACATCATATGCATGTCATATGTCATCCCACTTGTCACCCTCTAATATAAACTAGCTCTTTGATACCCACAGCAGCAGCCAAAGCCTATGATAAATGATATCATACAGATACAAACTCATTCTATAGAGAAAATAATGAGAAATCAGCTACCCTCAGGTTAAAATATTTACCCATTTTAGTTATTCCTTCCTTTTTATGCTGCCACTATGCCATTACCATTTTGTTGTTAGATCACTTTAATTTCCCTATATAAGATACTTTTTGTGCAGTCACTTAGTTTTACACCAACATGTTACAACTTGTGTCCTTGTGTTACGCTTACACTATATATTTATTCAATGTTATCACTTTCTATAGTCAAATCACTTAGTAATTTCTTCATTTTTGCTTTATTGTTATAATTTGAACCCATATTAGACCATCCAGATATGAGCTTAGATCACAAATAAAACCAGACAGATGAATTGAATTGTATATATATAAGTTTAGGTGCCAAAAGAAGAATGGTGTGATTTACGAATTGTAAGGAAAAACAAATCACCCATTTATGATCTAATGGGCAAATAAACAACACCAAGTATCCTCACCTTTGGAGAACCACAAGACCATCTGCCATTTTATTCATACTGACAGTAGTGACAGAGGAATTCAAATATAGCTTCTTCAATATTTGAGATCGTATGTATGGTCAAATAAAAACATTGTGGAGGTTCATATAATTAGTGTCTCTCTCAAGCGTACTTTTACTTTATTACATGACTGAAAACTACTTGTACTTATTGAATTTGGAATTTAGGCCTATGGTCCAATTTGGGTTTTGAGATAGGTCCAGCAGAATAAGAATTTACATGTAATTAAGGCATTTGTCATTCTGCTTTGTCCCTCTTTTGTAACGCTTTTGAGAGAAGTATCTTCACTCTTCCAAGATCCTCCGATCACAGGGCTTCAAAATCCAGAATATCTTCTTTCTTTTTACACCCTGCTATAAGCACTTAGCATTTCCTCGATTAAGAACTCGCAATTTGATTCGCTGTCCCAACACTGCGACAGCAATCATATGTACGTCATCGGTGCATAATTAGATCACATGACTGAGTTTAATCGGGCGCTTCCAAATTGGTTATAGCAGGGGGGAAGAAGGAGGTACGGATTCTGGACACCTGCGTCGGAGGATGCTCTTCCAGAGATAGTAGAGACTTTGAAGCCCACAATATGCCTGCAAATTGATTTCACAAGCAAACACGTCTTAGATTTATCCTTCTGGACCTACTTTAATTTAACTGTTGCATGGCTTGATTCTTACAATTTAGATAACTTTCTTTAATATAATAATGAATGTATTAATATTGTAAAGAGGAAGAGGTCCGGGAATATCTAATACCTTATGTTTCAGGGATCCTATATTTTATCTCAAAAAGACCTTACCCTTTAAGTATATGAAATCAAATGATGTATTCCCAATTTTATACAACTTTTTAATTTAAAGTCAAAGTGACCTCTATTAAAAATAGAGATTACAAATCTGAATCTGTTTTGCTTTTTCTAAACTTACATGTATTTTCTGTATAGTTTTCTCAACATGTATTTCTTCTCTTATACTTAAAGAATCAGGATGTATTACATTTTCTTTTACTTCAACAATGCACTCATTAAAACTAAAAGGCATTATACCAAATGCAATTTTTAAATTTCAAACTAATATGAATGTTAAACACCTACATTTCCTTTATTACAATGTGCTTTAATATAATGAGTATGACATCTCTCCAGCATTGGAACAAGTCTTTTGCACTCTCTTGATGGATATTGTCTGAGGAGAAAACCAGACATAAAAATCTGTATATCCGAACACCTCTCTTATATGAACACCTCTTAATGTGAACACTTTTTTCAGTCCCATTATTCAATCTCATAAACACTAAAAACCATGCAATGCACATCTGCCAGTCCAAATACTTTGATTCTGCAAGGAATACTGAACAAAATATATTTTTTCAGGGTGCCAGGATTACACGTAAAGACATAGATAGAGTGTTTGCCCTATATGATGTAGATAACAATGGTACTATTGAAAATGATGAACTAAATGGGTTCCTCAAAGACCTTCTATCCCTTGTCAATCAGGTTAGTGTTGAAGGCTAGACCACTCATATTCTTGCTAGAAGAGCCCTTCAGGCTTCGTAGAATATCACTTGTGAAAGATGCACAGGTATTCACCTCAAGAGAATTAAATATTTGCATAATATTTCAATCTGAATCATCATATAGAAAAATATCCATACAGATTTTTTCAATTGAAATTATGATGGTGAAGTCTAATATAACTTATCTACCTGGCATTTGCATCACCTTCATCTATTTTAGGCATTTTAGCACAGAATTATATCTAAAGAAATGTAAAAATTTACTTACTTTTTGTTTTCCAGGACTATGATAATGATGATATAGACTTTATGAAAAGTGCCATTTTGGATAAATGGGACCTCAACCACGATGGAAAAATCAGTCGGGATGAATTGAGTATGCTGCTCCTTCAGCAGGGCAGAATGTCTTTGGGACTGGAAGATGAAGAGAATGAATAAATTAGCATATATTTGCATTAATTTGTATAAATTTGCATATATTAGCCAAATTTTCATAAATTACCATACATTTCACTTATTAAAGTTGCATACTTATATTGTATCACACTTGGTTCTTTTTTTCATTCTTAACTAAATAAAATGTAAAGATTCTTTTGAAATAGCAAATTTTCATTGGATGCATTGCAGTTTTGCAACCAATTTAGAATTCTAAAGCAAGAATGCTTATGCAAGAAGGCTATTTCAAAATAATTTCTTATAAACTTAAAAAACAAGAATGCCATTATTATGGATAAAGTATACATAAAATTGTAATGAACTCAAACCATAGGATAAGTTTAATATATCAGTTATATTATTTGTTACAACTTTGACTGTTACAGTTAATCAGACAAAATGAGTGGAAGGGGATGATGCGATTTTATAACATTTCTTTTTTCATGAGAAAATTTATTAATAATACCTGACATTTGGTTAGTGAGTTCCAACTATATATCATTCCATAATGTTCTTTCAAATACGTTCCTGTAACTTTTTCAGAACAAAATTCCCTGATATGTTCTATATCAGTGATCAATATAAGAGCAAGCTACCCCACTCAGCCATTTAAAACTGATCTCAAAATGGACTACATATAGATATACAAGTGAAACCTGTAAAGTGGAACACCTTCAGGAGTGGAACACCTCTGTTAGTTGAGCACTTTTTTCAGAGTCCCAAGACAAACTATCTCAATGTTAAATAAACCTATATAAGTGGAACACCTCGCAAGTGGAACACTTTAGAAGTACCAAAGGTGTTCCACTTAGACAGGTTTTACTTGCTAACGCTAATGATATTTTAGTGATGTTTCCAGGTACATTGAGGCTCCTGTTCAAAATATACCAAAATCATTACAGGTGATATGTCACCACTGTCCCGAAAAGTCACCCCAAAAAATCTAGTCTTGAAATGTATTAATTGTACATATTTATTTTGTACTTTCTTTATATAATATAAAATATATTACATACACTTAGTGTTTATTTTATGCATTCCTTTATGGATATGGATTCTCTCTTATACATTCCTATTATTTTGTTGATGTATTTATACTCATACAGGGTGTCAAATAAGTCCCTGCTATAGCATAAACCTCAATAGATGGTACCTAATATACCATTGGAAAGATCATCCAACGTTACTTTAACTTACCAACTCTGCATGTAGCTATTTGTGACATTGATTGACAGGTATCAGATATATACCAATCAACCAAACATTGCACAATCTTTCCAATGATATATTACGAGGGTTGTCCCATAAGTCTTGAAATTTTTATTCTAATTCAAAATGATTTTAATGAATTTGGCTGAAAATTGGTATGTATCAAGATCAATCAATTATCTTTAACACGGTATAGTTCCATAACAAAATTATGAACTTGAGTAACTATTATGGTTGCTATGGTGACCAGAGGAGCTGAGGGGTGGGGCAGTAATGAAATATAGTAAAAGTGCAAAATGGAACCATGGGAGTATTAAGGATTTTAAAGGATGGGATGCATATTAATTTGTGAAGCGCCTGTCAAGATTGACAAAAACACTATATTCTTAGTATAATCTTGTGAAATACCTCTGTGATGTCATAATAAACTAGCACAATTGCTCAATTTTGGTACAGAGACACAGCATTTTGTAAATCAAAATGGCAGGGATTTTGTCACGAGGTGTTAAATCTTTGCATGCAGTTGCGCAATATAAGGCATTATATAGGGCATTCACCTAAATAAACAAGAAAAGCCATGGAAAAAGTGTATAGACAGTATACTCCGAGTGCACCTACAATATGGAGGTGGCAGAAGTAGTTAAACACTGGAGATACCAGCCTGGAGGATGCTCCTAGAAGTGGAAGGCCAAAATCCAGTGACAATCTCATACCACATATTGCAGAGAGAATAAGGGCTGAAAGGAGAACTACTTGTAGGAAGATTGCCATAGACTTTGATATTAGTGAGAATACTGCTCACATAGTGATGAAGAGAGACCTTGGCATGTCAAAGGTAGCCCTTAGATTAGTGCCACATATTCTGACAGAGGAGCAGAAAAACATAGAATGCAACTTGGGATGTGCTCCCAAATCCCTATTTTTTACGTCATATTTTGTATTTTTTATCCTGTTTTCTGCCCCGGGTACCGCCGACATACCATTTTCAATCATCTGTAACATTGCCAAATGATCTTATTATGCTATGAAATTTACGGAGATAGTAGAAATATATCTAAGTTACAAAATGTGAAGATTTTATCATTGCATCTCAAATATTCTATAAATTAGAATAAAAATTTCAAGACTTATGGGACAACCCTCGTACACTTGGTACCATATATCTGGTTTTGGCAGTAAAGGGGAGACAGGACTTATTTGACACCCTGTACAATATGTATTTTAAGTAATAATATTCAATTAATCCTGATGTAATGCTAATACTTCAATCAGTGGCTGAAGTGTATCATTCTTAATTAAATAAAGATTTAAAAATATCTTATATAAATATATATAATTATTCGGTACTACTTATGTATATATCATAAATGTGGCATGATTATTTTAATTTATTTACAATTGTATGTTTCTCTTTTTTTATCATATATAAATAAATAAAAAAATCTAAAGTATACAACAAAATGTTTAAGTTCATATTCAGGTTATATATATTTTAGAGCGCACTAGTATCTGATCTGCATACCATTGATTTAAATAGATATATAAAGACTGCCACACTCTATACCATAGATGTATGAAGACTAACAGACTCATTACCATAGATGTATGAAGACTAAGAGACTCTTTACCATAGATGTATAAAGACTGCCACACTCTATACCATAGATGTATAAAGACTAACAGACTCATTACCATAGATGTATGAAGACTAACAGACTCTTAACCATAGATGTATGAAGACTGCCACACTCTATACCATAGATGTATAAAGACTAACAGACTCTTTACCATGGAAATATAGAGACTAACAGACTCTTTACCATGGAAATATAGAGACTAACAGACTCTTTACCATGGAAATATAAAGACTAACAGACTTTATACCATAGATGTATAAAGACTAACAGACTTTTTACCATGGAAATATAAAGACTAACGGACTTTATACCATAGATGTATAAAGACTAACAGACTTTTTACCATGAAAATATAAAGACTAATAGACTCTTTACCATGGAAATATAAAGATTACCAGACTCTTTACCATAGAAATATAAAGACTTCAATACTCTTTACCATAGAAATACAAAGACTACCAGACTCTTTACTATGAAAATATAAAAAATACCAGACTCTATACCATAGAAATACAAAGACTAATAGATTCTTTACCATGGAAATATAAAGACTACCAGACTCTTTACCATAGAAATACAAAAACTAACAGACTCTTTACTATGGAAATATAAAGACTAAAAGACTCTATACCATAGAAATACAAAGACTAAAAGACTCTTTACCATGGAAATATAAAGACTACCAGACTCTTTACCATGGAAATATAAAGACTACCATACTCTATACCATAGAAATACAAACACTAACAGACTCTTAACCATGGAAATATAAAGACTAAAAGACTCTTTACCATGGAAATATAAAGACTACCAGACTCTTTACCATGGAAATATAAAGACTACCATACTCTATACCATAGAAATACAAACACTAACAGACTCTTAACCATGGAAATATAAAGACTAAAAGACTCTTTACCATAGAAATATAAAGACTAACAGACTCTTTACCATGGAAATATAAAGATTACCAGACTCTTTACCATGGAAATATAAAGACAAACAGACTCTTTACCATGGAAATATAAAGACAACCATACTCTATACCATAGAACTACAAAGACTACCAGACTCTTTACTATGAAAATATAAAGACTACCAGACTCTATACCATATAAATACAAAGACTAACAGACTCTCTACCATCGAAATATAAAGACTAACAGACTCTTTACCATAGAAATATAAAGACTACCAGACAAATCATGATAAAAAGGACATTATTTGATTAAATAGACTCTATACTGCATATTAGAGCACAATCAAGACCCCCAGGACTTAATCTCGTATTGAGCTTTACCACATATTCACATATCTACTTATTGACAAAGAAGTCTAGAATCCTCCACTTTCAGTGCTAATTTAACGACTGCACTGACTGATAGAATTACTATTGCAGAAATTAATATATCTAAAGTTTGAATGCATCCCTGTTATCTGATTGGTTGTTAATATTTTTATCATGAATCTGATTGGCTGCCTGGTTCAAGGTGCTTGTTGGCCCTTGAGCACTTGATGGAAATTTCCCTCGATGGCTGCCGAACCAAATATGTTCAATTCTGACAGTTTGTTGTTCTGTTGATTATTTCAAAATATCTACAATAATATACCTGAATTTAGAGAAAAAAGAACTTGAGTAATTGATATAAAATGATGAATACCTCAGCAAATATTTCTCCAATGAGATAAATACTATTTCACTTTACAATGTAGTCTAATTATGTTTTCTTTACACATGTTTTCTTTTGAAATAAGTAATGGGAAGGAAAGGTGATTAGTGATTACATATTGTTTGTAAGCCTCCACAGGCCTGTAGCCAGCTCTTACCTGGGGGAGGGGGAGTGGTTCTTCCAAGGCGTGAGATTTTGCCAATGGGGGAGCGTTTTGACAGTTTGGGCTAAAAGATTGTGTGAAAAGTGCTCAGAATGGTGAAAAACTGCATGATTTTGAAAGAAGGAAGCGTCCCTCCACTCCCCCTGGCTACGGGCCTGCTTCATTGTATGTTGCAATACATTAAACTGAAACTGAAGTTGAAATAGATGATCTGTTGGAAAGAGACAAGCTGTTAAATTAATTCTTAATCTGTAAAAATATTCTAGATTCCATATTTATTTTTACAGAAACAAGAAAAACATGGAACTATTGATTCATTGACACTTCCTTTGCATAGAAATCATACTGTAAAACAAGGCATTAACATGCAAAATGTCAACACCTACCATTTGTTGCAGATGCCAAACTCTGAATACCAGACTACAAACACCAGCCACCAAATGCTTACCACTTATATTTATTTATTTTATTCTATTTTATATTTCATTAAAACATTATAACATTTGTACATATTTGTGGCCGTGACACCTACATAGGTATATGATTAACCACTTTTAAAATCCTTAATCTAAAATTTTTGAGTGCTTGAAAGTTTAACACAATATGACACTGGGTAAACCATAATTGTCTGATGAATTATAAACAATGGTAAAAAATAATGTATAACATAGAGGATGGAATCACCTTATGTTTGCTGAACATCAAAATCAATACTTAAATGTATTATACGTATACATATAGTTTAAAGGGTCATG